GAAGTGACCACGGTGGACATCGCTCAATCGGTGGTTGATAATCGCCTTGGCGTAGGTGCACGTGAATTGTCTGTCCTCAACGACAGAATGAAGCAGAGTGTGGCACACAAGATCGCCGAGATCTTCACCGAGGATTTTCCAATCCCGAACTTCTACTTTATTAAGATAAAAAATGTCGCCGTCCACTCGGTCACAAACGCCTATCTGATCGCCATGGACTTGCACATCGACCAGCGAGAGCTGAGCAAACTCTTGCGGCAGGGCATCCAGAACATGTCGTTTAACTGAGGTTTGTACCACTGACCCTGTCTGTGCACCATTGAACAAATGCAATGTTTTAGTGCCGCCCTCGTATTACCGCCCCTCCGACGAACGTGACCGACGGCAACAGAAGATGTGTGTTCTGCTTTCAGAAAAAGTATATATTATTACGTGTGAATATTTTTTTATAATGTTTACTTAAAGTAATAGCTTTGATGGCTAAAGACAGAACGAATTACTTGACTCGTTTTTCACATTTTCTACTTTCTATTATTATTCAAATTGAAAAAGTTTTACTAGGGTACGAGACAAATAATCATCAAATTTTAAGTCCCTTGTTCGAAAAGGCTGCACTACGTTATGTTCATTGGTTCCAGTTTAGTTAGCTGCCATTTGTCGTACCGCAAGCTTTGTCAATCTCAATCTGACTCATTCATACCTTTCTTGCTAACGTTATTCTCTGTTCACTGACAGACGGCATGTTCAAACTTTTATTATGAGTTCTTTGCTGCTGACAAATTCATTGACTACCATTTCGGTCGGTCATATCATGTTTACAAAAAGTATTTTCCTTAAATATAAGCCTGCATAATGGCATTCTAATAGTTGTAAGTCTGCATTTTAGCGGGAATTTTATACAACAAATAAAACGTCTGCAGTTATCTCATTGTCTGGAAAGGACCCAGCTTCATTCAGTGCAACAAGATCGATCGATTAATTTAAGCCCATCAAAAACAATACCTATTTTTCATGTCGAAATGTATGCAGGAGGCAAGCACTATTTGGAATTTTATTCGAACGAGACTATAACCTGAGCTTCCTTGATTACTGTGAACATTTCAGAAGTAATAATTCAAGGAGCTACATGACTAGACTTTTTGGCAATGATAAAAATAGCTCTGGTGGTGAGAAAACTGCTGTCAAAACATGAAATGAACAACCGATGATATTTGGTTGATCCAAATCATCTATTCGAATAGCAGACAACATCACATCTAGATAACTAGAAAAGATGCGTAAATTCATATGATGGATAGGTTGTCTATGTGATGCGGTTCTGCATCCATGCATTGCAGGTTCTCAAATACCATGGAGCCGCAGTCCCCTAGACGATTAGAATCAAGGGGGCGGCGCCATTGCGCCGCTGTAAGCCGGTGCCAAAAGAGAAACTGTTGGTTATGTTCTTCCATCTCCATTTTAGTTAAGGCTTTCTTCACTGAAACTACTTGTACTGTATTTTTCAAGAGCTCCTTACTTCAGCTGACCAGCCATTTCACTCAGTATATCCTGATATGCTGGTTTTTGTCCAATCTGTATGACTTCATGAACAACTGAATTCAGCGAACACAAAATGTATCACCGTTTGTGAAGTGTCGCTGAACAGCCAAGTCGTCAGAAACTTCGAGGGACACTGACGAATGCGCGAGTACTCATCTGTCAAGAAATTATGCTGGCTCTTAAGAAGGTTAAGCGACAGCCAGATGATCAGACCATTCCTTACTCTTGTGAACTCATATGAATGCACTGGTTGTGTTCCAGGTCTATTAAACAACAAAGGGTGTTTAAACAAGGGAGGAGAAACTGAGTACTGATCAAACTACGACAGTTATACTAGAGTTTTAAATGAATCGGCATGACATTCTAACACCATTTCTGGGTAACCGTTAAAGCGACAACGCATAAATGAATATTTACATTGCGGAATCCACGCCGACATTTGTCAAAATGGCTCAGATTCTTAATGACTCAAACTTTGCGTATGATGATAAGAATAATCTCAAACCGATCCAGAAAAGCCTTCGTCCAACTAGAAAAGAAGTTCGAATGATTATTCTTTGGTTCTGAAACGCAAATCATATCTGCATCTTTCTTTTCATTAAAAATTCTGATTCAGTGCTTCCAAACACAAAGAACTGATTGACAGTTGTCCTCATTATATCGACATATCAGTCAAACATTATTGGTAGCCCTCAAAAAATAGCCATTTTTGCCTGTGAATAAATTCATTTCGTAGAGTTAAATAAAAGTCGACTTAAGGATTGCTGAGTAACTTCGAATAAGAAATCAACTGTTTCTTTTTTAAGTTCTAAAATGTAAAAGCAAAGACTTTTGAAATATCATTTTTGAGTTAACGAAATGCATTAGAAAATGAAGAACAATGGTTATCTGATTCATGAATAAAGAAAAAAAATAAACTGGATTTCGTGACGAATTGAACTGACTTTCAAATAAACTCGAGAGTCATTGATGCCATGCTGAAACATGATGTGGTTTTTAAGACACACGGTTTAATGCGAATCAAAGCATTTTATCGCGGCGAAATAAATCAAGAGACAGAGAAATCATTCATTCGCTAATCATACTGTAAACATAATAGAGAACTGTGAATCTGAATATACCACTATTTTGAAGTCTGACTTCGACACTGTCATTCCCCCCCTCAAATGTACACTAGATGTGGTGATCATTCATAAGAAGGGCAAGTATCTAACTATGGTTCTCATTATATAACTATTTCACCAAGCTTAATCTGAATATTTCCTCACGAACAAAAAATACGTGTCCAATAGAACAAAAGGGATTTCAGTTGCATTAATGAATGTTTGATGCAAAGAGTTTTTTTTCTAACTTTCTGAGCAATGCAAAATTAAAATTTAATTTCATACCATGAGCGCATTGCAATTTGGGTCGTTTAAAATTGATGTCGAAGTTTCGTCAACAGGGAATAATGTAGATTCTGTTTATGGTAGAGCCAAGTCTCAGCTGCCGTGATATGTCATAAACCCTGCTGATTTGACAATGGTGAATATACTAGCAAATTTCTGCATGTTTTACATGGTAATCTTACTCAGGAGGAAAATATTCCTACTGAACACTCTCGAAGGTAAGACTGACGTCATAATCACCACATGGAAAATAATCCGGGAGACACAATAAGCATAATCAATTTCATACGGAAATATTTACTACACAAAATGAATTGAACACATGTTCCTGATATTTGTACTGCAAAACATCATCCGCAAATCTTGATCGTAGAACTTTTCATATATAGGGCATGATTAAGAAATAAGCTTAAGTTGATTCTGAAGAAAAACCTGTGTGTGTGTTCAAGTCAGTTGTCACTGCCGTGCTCATCAGCGGTCATGGATCATTGCTCGAATGGGTTATCTGAGACGAATTGCTGGAATCACAAATCTTGTTAGAGTCCAGAGTTCAGGTATCTGAGTGGGTCTGAGTATTTTTAAAGATGGAAAAGCAACATGCGATAGCTTAGACATGACTTGTGAATGCTTCCAAAAACGAAGGCTAAGAAGAATCTACTTCCTCCACCGACAAGCGGAAGACCATGGGGACGGTCAAATCTCCTAGACAGACCAGAAGGAACATTTAAAATGGACATAGCATTTTTAGCAGCCCCATTAAAACAGTCTTTCAGATTACTGCCTTCAGATCGTCCGTCAATTTCTTTCCAACGCCAGGGATTAGTGCACGTCTACTAACCAAACTAATAAGCCCTAATAAATTTCAAAGAAGAAGAACGCATATAGCGAGGATCTATGACACAAGTTCATTAAATGCGGAACAAACAGCAGCAATAGATACGAAAACTCCCTGGTCTATTTCATCAGATGTCGACTTGAAACAGAGTTTTCTCAGGGAACTGAAGTGCAGAGAAGTTATTCCTATATTCAAAGAACGACGGGCAACTGGGTTCCAACTATAGTGTTATCACGCTATCCTCAGGTTGAACAACTCACACGTTAGAGTACAAATAAACCAGGCCAATAGGGATAACATGCAACAAACAATGGCCCCCTCCATAGCACTCTATCATCATCTCGTTCGTATGGTCAATGTGAACAATTGGCAACAGAGAGGAGATTGGCAAAGGGAAAATTAAAAAAATTAATAAGGCAGCTAGAAAGAGTGAATGGCGAACAATGTTCAAAGGAAGTGGAGGTTGATAATTAAGCAATAAGCAGGTGTCTTTTTTCAAGACGTTAACAGTGTCCCATTTGCAATAAGAAGCAAACTGGGCATTTCCAGCTTCAGTTCAGCGGCTGCTCTCCAGGTTCTAACCTTCATTCTGAGAATTTTCTGCTAACACAGAAGTTTAATGCAAATTTACCCACCAAATTAGAAATTAGAAAATTAGAAAAGACAGCCTTCCTCCTCCGCTTCACGTGAAGAAGGCTTGGGACTGGATGTAATACTCTGAAATCACTTATATATGAGGGAAGAAATAGCAGAAGAGCTCCATTAACTATTTGAAAATGTTTCCCTCAAAAATGGAGGCGTGGACTAATTTAAGGGGCGGTGACTCACTGGAATGTTCTAATTATGGCGGTAGCACATAAATGTCAACATTCGAGAAATTCTGACCCGATTAGCTGGACGCTAGCTTGGTGTCCGATTAAGCCATAAATCATACTCCACGCCGCGGAAATGTCGATGGAGCTAACGCAACCGTTGCAAGTGCTAATTTTGGCAAGACCTGTCTATATTGGCAAGATCTACATTGACAAGTCCAGTCGAGCGTTAAAGATCAGATTAACGTAACACAGAAGAGCCATCAGGTACCGTAATGCTGATCATTCTGATTTTGATGTTCATGCTCTGCAGAATGGTAATGATTTTAACAACTGTGACGTAACGATTGTCGATCGACACCGGAGCAAGCCGAATTTGTTGATCAAGGAGTCGCTACACGTCGCTGCGGGTTAAAACAGAACTTGTAGCGGTTGCATTGGCTCCATTGACGTGGAACATCATACACAGCTTGATTAGAGACCCGGCTGGCTAGCGTCCAATCAATCGGATTAGGCACCAACTGACCCAGAAGTTTGTTTTTCTTTCGAGTTCATTCGCTGACAGTGATCGATGCCAATTCTGATGAAACGTTGGAATTGTTATAAAAAAATTATTTTCTTGTTTCTCGTGCATCAAACCATGAAATCAGAAGACTCATCACCTTCAAGTCTTGTAGGGCATGCTATCGGTATGAAGCTCAGAAAATATTTTCG